TATTTTCCCTGGTTCTGCATTCCACCTCTGTTATAGTTTCCTCTGTTTGAGTAGCCACCTCTGCTTGGAAAGACAGGGCCACGAGGATATGGGTAGCCAATTGCACCGCTGCTGCCACCGCCACCACCGCCACCTCCACCACCTCGCTGAGGCATGTTGCCTCCCCTCCTGTTGTATCCGCCACGATTGCCAGGGACTGCAGGGAGAGAGTTATTTCAATCAAGTAATTGTTCGGTCCAAGTATTTCTTACATGAAGATTATTGATCAAAATAATGATGGTATAGAAATAAGAAGTCCAAGTTCAGCGCAAATTTTCACGGCCAAGATTAAGTCACCTGGTCATAGTGAAAAACGATAATTTAACCATGGGCTACCCCCCAGTACAGTCTGGTATACAAGCCAACACCAAACCTAATGTAAAAACTTGAAGCTGTGTGCCTCAAACCACATGACAGGGTAGTCCAGGATTTTGGCAATCCTCACTTTTGAATCTGGACAATTAACTTCGCACTAATATGTTACACTTACTGAAGTTGAAATCAAGGTTCCCAGTCCCTAATAATTGCAATGCAAATACTATAAGCTTTCCCCACCCCCAGCAGCAGCAACCTCCAAAATTTACAGGTTTATTTCCAGGCTCACCTCCTCCCCTGAAGTTGCCCCGCATGTTGAATCCTCCACGTCCTCTCTGACCCCTATTAAACTGATTTTTATTACTCTTCTTGTTCTTCTTTGAGCCAGTGTTCTGTTTCTTTTCTGGCGGAAGAGATTTCTTACTTTCTTCTTTATATTGTTCCAAAAGCTTCTGAGCTTCTTCTTTTTGCAACTCTACATAGATTATTTCATCAAAACATTCTGCTACCTCTGGCAGTGTGAAGTTCCCTATAATTGCAAAAACACTGAGTATTCAGCATCTACATTCAGCTACAATCAAAGCTGTAATTTAACCACCTTTCTCCCATTCTTCCTCCCACCCCCTGCATTCCCTCGGCATTGGGACAAAATTACAGAATTTAAGCATTTAAGAAATGTAACAGTGACAAAAGAAATAAACAGGTCTTCATGGAGTTGCCAGTACTGTTCCAAACCTTGAATACATTCTGCCTATATCTTTTTTTTCTTTTATAAGCCTCCACTCAGAATACCAGTTTCTGCCAAATATGTCACTTATATAAGGGCACTTTATGCCAAGACAGCTTTGTGCATCTGCATGAAGCATATCAGCATAACTGAGTAGTGTTAAGGACTGCAGCAGAGGGAACACAATATAGTGTTGTCCTACAAGTTACAATAGTCTTCCAGTTTTGTTTAAGTACAACTGTTTAAGATAAAGTGATTTTTTAGACTTCACGTTTACTTAATCCTTTAAACAGATAGTCAGCATCCTAAAACACAGTATAGGATTATGTTCCATGCCTTTCATTTTGAGAACTGCATGCTCTGGAAGATCTTTTCCCTCCACCTCTGCCTTCTTTTGTGTTCTTTGCTTGTAGTCTTCATCTTTTGGGCAAACAACAACTGCTTTGCGCTGGAAGCCTGCAAACAGGCACATTTTTCTCCTCTGCGCAGCTGCAGACACATTTGTCTGAAAAAAATGCAGTAACTTACTACACGTAGCTGTCATTGTAAGAGTTAAGGAAGTCAACTTATGGTGTATAGACTTCACCTCTACAAGAGCTTGCAACGAAGTTTACAAATAACTGGACATAAAGATGCTGCACAATGCAAAGTTACGAACTCATATCCACGTGTTAAAACACTATTCCTCCCACATCCCATACATCCAGAGAAGTTCAGATAAGCATTTGTAGTAAAATCTCAACTTTGTGTCCCCTGAACAAGTAGTAAGTCAGTAAGTGAAACAACTGCTATTACAATGTAACTTTAATCCCATTTAATTACTGCACTATAGCCTACAACACATTTCCTTAACCGTTTTTCACTGAAGCTTCTACCTGATCCAAAATGAAATTCCGCTTCTTACGAGCTGCAATCTCAATGAACTTTCCAAGACACTGTGGAGCTCTCTGCAGCAGTGTGTTAAGTTTTCCAGTGTCCGCCATCTGCCGCTTAAAACCTGCAACCTATGGAGAGATTTCCCAGAGTTAAAGTAGCCCTCATACACGTGGCTGACATTTTTCATTGCTAAATGCTTTTCACCTCACTTCAAGGGTTGTTCAATTCAAGGCCATGGCTACTAACTCATAACTGAAATTCTCAAAGCCTCTATAACGCACAGAGCTTTATAAACAAAGAATCTAGGTTGAATCAATACAGCTGAATCTAACGTATACTCATCCCATTCATTCAAAGCTAAATGTCCTATTCTGAGGACAGCGATATAAAAAGAAATAGAAATGCTTCAACAGGCAGCAGCAGTTGACTATTTCTTATACAGTACCACAAAAAGTTTCAGAATGTGCCATATATGAGTAGCAGCTCAGCAAGACGGCAATATTTAATGGTCACTAGTAACCAGTGGCTGGTTTCTTAGAATTCTTTGATACAAAAGAACCCCATGGCAGCCGAAGACCTTGGATTTACAGCAAGTCATTAACATATCAACAAATAAAATGTCATATTATCACTTACCATCATTTTGTCCATAATAGTATTTGTCCCAAGAATGTTGTATTTCCCAGGATTTGCTGCTGCGTGTTTGGTAACCCATGTAGTCTTGCCAGCTCCAGGCAAGCCAATCATCATCACCACCTATGACGACAGGTTCTATACTTGAGATACTAGTTCAAAGACTTTCTCTACTATGCAACTTAGACCAGTAAGCCTAAAGGAAACTGAGTAAGGGGAAGTTGGGGGGGTGGAAAGAGTCGTGGGATATGAAGACAAAAAGGTCAGACAGTTGTATAATAGTCGGCTTAAACTCCACCACTTCTGTTCATCTGTCTCAACAACTTCGATATTGTCAACAAGAAACTTACTTCACAATCTTTCTTTTGCTCGGGTCCCTTTGGTCCTCGGACCCTATCCTCCAGGGGGACCTTCTGGATGAAGGTGTACTCTTCAGGTACAGGAAAGTAAGGTTCTTCCTTCTGACCAAAGTTGAACTCAACTGCACAGTTATGGCAGAGAACATGTGGGAAGAGTGGTCGCCCATCAAGAACTTCCTTACTTATTTTGAATGCAACACCAAGCTCTTGTCCGTTCTTGGAATATGAGAGTTCCACTTCATCACCATCAAAATTCTGGTTTTCAGACAAAGCGTTAGTTTGGATAAAATTACTCACCTCGCTCTATAAAGTTATATTAGTCATCTCACAATATTGGCTATATTCACTCAACTTCTGTAACACTGTTACATCGTAAAGGAACTACTTTAAAAAGTTTTCTCTTAAAATGAGTTACTGTTAATGATCATCCTGTTTAAGATCTGATTTTTTTTAAAAGGCTTTGAAGACATTTCTCTGTGAATATGAAATCTTAACATGTTGACAGCAGTCACTGTTGACACTACCTGCTGTTTCTACCTCCTCCCTATGTTAAACAACTTGTCTTGCTCCAAGTTTTTCTGTATTAGGTTTACTGCTGCTCACATCAAAGCAGTCTAAAAATTCAAGATGTTTCTCCTCAAAAGAAAATACAAGTGAAAACTTACAGCAAAACATCCAATCACATCATTTTCATCAAACTTCTCACCAAAGTCTTCAGTCTCACAATTGCATGTCTTTATTCCTTTTAGAGAATATCCATAAGAAAATTCTTCTTCACCTGAAGAAATAATTTAAAAGTATCAAAAATAGGCATTTTGACCTAATCTTTTACAGCTCTACAGCTGTAAAATCACTTTACAGCTACTTAAGCAAGCCGCTGTTTAGAATGTTTTTCTTAATGCCAAAACAAGCTATGACCCCCAAACAGCTACAGTTCATTCTTGTATTCAAGAAATCAATACTCTCACTTGACAGCAGTGTTTCCCCATCTCAGTTTTAAGACTCTTATGTTGCTGGTTCCAGAGTCATGCTGACATAAAGCTGAACTGCCAGATAAAGACATGACCAAGTATTTTTAAAGACTGAAGACCTGATTATGCACCGGTATACCTGTAATGTAGGCTTTCTGAATTTAGTCTCCAGTAGCACTTACCCCTCCCCATTTTAAAGGGAGTTTAGCAGACATTCAGCCTATGCGACAGCTGAGGATGAAGCTGCAAGGAACAAGCTAACAGGAAGAGTCAAACACAAGGACTCAGGTGGAACTTAAGTACTTTACTAGAAAGCTTCTACTGCTGCTGTCAGAACGTACCAATTCGTACACATTTCCCACAAAGATGCATCTCAGCAGCAAATATTAGTTATAAATACAATTATGATCGGTTCCCATATATCTAATGAAGTTGTACTTCTTTCTTCCTAGCTACTTTCAGAAATGAGGATTCTCCCCCCAAGCCAAAAGAATAACGTAGTTATCCAGGAATTTTTCTTCACTGGTTAAGTCTTATACCACACCCCACCCTTTTAAAAAAAGAAAAAGCAAAACACCCCTCTTCCTATTTATGACACCACATGGAAAAGGAAAAATCCTTTATCTTGTCAGGCCTTCAAAAATGTTCTCCACAACCCATACTTGACCACTGAAAGAATTAACGCTCAAATCATGTAAACCTTACAGGCTTGAATACTTAACAACTTTATTTGGTCCCAATAATAAACTTTCTTGCACCATGTCCAGTGAATGATTCAAATTAAGACTTTTCAGAACATATGGACTACAATCACTAAGCTTTTCCCATCTGCTTAAGAAAAAATAACTTAAAAACTTCCAACCACACACACAATAAATAATACAGAAGTAATTATATGTTTAAGTCTTACCAAGCAACATGCCACTTGTGTTCAGCGACCAGCCAACTCGCACTTCATGTATGTCAATGTCTTTTGTATACAGGTGTTTAACAGGAATCTTTTCTGTAACCTATTTTTAAATTATTCATTAAAATGTATGTAAGTGTTTATTAGACACTAACAAGATGGAAACACAAAGGTAGCACCTGGAACCTTTACACTTTGGTTAAATCTTTGCTAAGTCTGAGCAATCACCTTCTGCAAAAATAAAACATGCTCAAGTATGTGAAATCACAACCCAATTGCTAAGTAGTTACACTTCCCAACTGAGATGCAAGATACCATATACTTTCAAAGCACTTAGTCATAACAGTCCCTCACAGTGGCCAAAAGCCTTAATCCTTTTGATACCGTATTAAAATCACAAACAACATGTATACGGTTTTTTTTTTGAATCATCATGAAGTTGGGATTAACAGTAAATTACTTTGCCAATAAAATGTGGTAATGGACAAAAGAATTGCTTTCAATAGACTGGGGAAAATATTACACTCATCCCTATCCACAGTAAGCAGACTTCCTGGGCAAGTTGCCAACTTCCAACCAACCAGATTAAAAAAAAAACCCACCTAAAAGCACTAGAATCTGTAGGCAAGAAGCTATTTTCTAACTCCCTTTACAAACCTCACCAAACTAAAGTGAAAAACTCATCAGTATCCTACCAGTTTCCATAACTATTCGAGTCAGGTGACCGAGGTGAAACTGATTTGAAAGTGAACAGGACAATAAATACTGACATCAATTTCACTTCACTGGCCTTCCAAAGTTATAGGTACCAACAGACACAGAAATCACCCAATGCAAGAGAATGGGATCACTACCCACTCCTCATGGTAGTGGTTAGATTTGAAAGTACTAGAGAAAGAGAACAGAGTAAGCATTTATATACACAGGCACATCATATGCAAAGAAGCCTTTAACATTGCTGAGTTAAAAAAAAACAAAACAAAAACCCAAACCACAAACAGAAACCAAGCTTTGTGCCTCCTGTTTTTCTTTCATCAAGAAGTTGGAAAAAATCTGTTTATTACATGGCTGATTGCCCTTTGCCATTCTTACCCTTTTAGGAGAACTCTTCCTCTCAAAATTCAAGTACCTGCTAAATACTCACATGCATTGCATACACAAGTCAGAATTACTCAGGTTGGAAGGGACCTTTGGAGGCCATCTAGCCCAAATCCCTGCTTAGAGCAGGTCAAACTCAAAGACTAAGTAAAAGGACTGCTGGGATAACTTATAAGCCTTTTTAAAAAAGAAGCCAAGTTTTCTGTAATCGTCAAGAAGTACCAGCAAACTTCTGACTAGCGAGTATCAAAATTCTTCAAGTGTTGATGTAGGAGGTGCCAAATAAAAATCTTGGTTCAAAGCTGAGACCAGAAGTTACACATACCAGAAGTTACACAGTCAGGGCAAATGCAAGCTGTTTTGGTTTTTTTTTTTGTGTGTGTGTGTGATGTTAAATAGAAGTTCTTATAAAAGAGGAAGCAGTTTTGCAAATTGAGCCATTTTTTTTTTAATCAAGAATCATTTCACAGGCTCATAAGAGAAGGCCTTCTGGAAGTTCTGTTAACCTGAATTAGTTTCAACTAAGTACAAAAAACCTCACAAGTTTAAAGAGTATTACATTTAAGCATGCAAAATCATCTTCCATAAAACGTAAGTTTAACTCACCTTCATCTCAAAGCAGACTTTGCCTTTAGAAACTCCATAGGAGGCTCTCCCTCCAGCCCAAAGGAAAGCAAAGCTTTCCATGGTCAGAGAAGAAGCACTAAACCGGTCTCTTGAGATCTTAAAATGCAGGTCACAGTTATCTGTTAACATAAAAATCATTCTGTTTACTCTTATTACAAACTAAACTGTAGTGTCCAATTTTATGCATTAAAGGTGATTTCAGTTATCAAAGGTGATTTTCAAGACAAACTGCCAGCAAGTGCTCAGCATCTTTCAGGAAAGCAACTGAACATGTGCCTAGATAGAGCTGCAGGCTGAAACTCAGTCAAAACTCTTAGGAAAAGCTAGCTAACAATAATAGTTTTCAAGGCGCCATCTTCACTTCTGTCATCAAATTCCTCTATTTTTTCCATCTGCTTAAAAACCTGAATTTAATCTCATTTATCTGAACTTTTTTTGATGGTTACCCGAGATATTTCCATCAATATAGAGCAAAGGAATCTGCGTTATACTCTTTGCATTATTTGCTAGGTATCTTTTTTTTTTAAGTTGTCTTACCCTTCATGCCCAAACCTAAGGGCAACTGAGAAGCAAACAGGAACACAAGTATTTTTGTTTAAGTACTGAAAGTAGTACTGTCTTTGGTTAATATAGTCATTTAGCAAGTCCAATTAGATTAAGCCAATTAAAATTAAGTCAGTTAAGTCAAAATCAGATAGGTTAAGCACACAGAACGTGTTACTTAGGTAAAGTAGGTTCTCATCACAATCTACCCTATGAATTCACCTATCTAAGAACTTAAGTGGAACCTTTGTTTTATGGACATCTTCAGAGCTGCAGCACCATGAAGTTTCAAATTAATCTTCTAGTAGGTTTCAAAAAGACTGCATAATGGTAACATGAGGTGCAGGATATAGCACTTGAATTCCCCAGAGCAAGGAATCCATAGAAGAAACTCCAAACCTATTTAATAGTTACCAGAAAGGAGCAAAATTAGCAAGCAGTGAGTTGTACTGCCCTGATATAAAATCTGCACACTGCTCTAGGACTCTGAAATGTAGTCTTCCCTGTATTACTGGGAACTCTCATGCACAAGAACTTGTTTTGTTTGCATACAGCCATCCCCAGTTGTAACTACTCTATCTGTAATCCAAGCATCTTCTCATTAGTACTTCTAACTTTTATTTGTTGCATGAAAACCAGATAAAATCATACAGAAGAAACCCACCTGTGCAGGTTACTTTTAGCACAACAAATGAGAACAGAATTTGAAGTTACAGTTTCCTTGTAAGACACAGGTAATAAAAAGCCCTTAAAGAGTGCTAAACCTCTTACAAGTCTGGATCATTACGGTCCAGAAAAGAGCGCCAAGTTGTTACACAATTCAGTCTTAAAGCTCTGTTTGATTCTGATCTCCATGCAGTCTACCAACACTTTAAACTAAATCACAAAGTTTGTCCAGTAATGAAACTTTCTACTAGAAATACTAACAATGAAAAGCAGCTACTACTCAGTAATTGGGAAAATCAGAAGCTCCCACAAAGGTGGCTACTCACCAGGTTAGCAGCTAAAAACTTGAGATTTAGTTACCAAAATGTCAAGGATGGTATATCCAGCCATTGACATGGCTGTAAACTAATACCTCCTTCCATTTCAAAACATTTCTCAAGAAGAAAACACCTGGAACTACGAGCAAATATACCAGATAATGCCAAAATTTAATCTTTCCTTCCACGGCACCTTAGGAATCCAACAAGTTCAAGCATCACTTATTCAAGCTTTTTAATACTGCACTAAGTCCTTATACCTACCCTCAAGAATACAAATGTAAAGTCTGCCCCATTCATGGTACATCACAACAATAGTAATGTTTATAAATGCCTCAAAAAACTTCACCCTGTTTGTAGGTACTTGTCAATTTCTACGCCCTGTTGACCAATTCTGTCATCTTATTTGCACAAATCACCCCCCTGCCCTGCAAACTCCCAGATTGCATGAATGGGTCGTTTTTCAGGAGGCCTTACCTAATTTTTCTGTTACATTTACCAGAAAACACAAAACACTACTCCACTGGTTGGTACATAAATAGGGCCTCAGCAAGTTACACAGGAAGCTCATGTCACAAATTGTACAACTGTAACTATTGATTCTTAGAACTTTCTGAAGTGAAAAGCTCATGTGCTATATAATTAGTTTCTCAAGCTGTTTCTAGGGTGTTCTATGCTCACTCTAAACTTGATCAGCTTAGTTTAGATTAGTGTTTTGGTTAAGATTTCTTCAGAAAACTGTATAGTATCACAGATTTCATGGGAAAACAAAGCTTATTACTGCTGATATAAAGACCCACATATCCTTCTGTTCTTTTGTATACTGAAAATGGATAGAAACACCATTTCTATTTTTTTTTTTTAAAGTTAGTTGATAATGAAAATCAACAAATGTATTTGCCCCACATTTCAGAAAGTGTGGTTTTAAGATTAAAAGCATAACATCACACCTTTCCAGAGTAAAGGAAAGCATGGTTACTCACAAGTATCAAGACAAACCACTGTGTCATCAAAATGTTCATCTTCTTCTTCAACTGGTGGTTGAGGGGACTTGGCCCTGAACAAGACAAAACCAAAAAAGATTAAAGCTACACGTATTTTCACAGTGTTAAAATAAGCATTTACGTACCTTCTCTTCATTCACAAAATACTGCCCAGCACCAAAAGTTTATTTACCTGCTGTACTTATTTTCTTCAATGTATTCAAAATATCCACGGCCATGGTCTTCACGTGGTCTCTTCACTCCCCTCTTCTTCTCACCAGGTTTTTGTTCCGTTTTAGCATCTCCTGTAATAGAATTGATTTATTTTAACTTCACAAAGTAACTCTTGAATTGGGAATAAACTCCCACACAATGCTTCCAACTTTGGAAACTGTAAGAATCTACAGCAAGAGAAAAGCAACGGTAGGCTAAAGAATTTTGCTTTGTACCAAGATAAAACCCCGTATCTCGAATTTTCTCGGAAGACTCAAAACTTGTCTGCTAAATCATCTCTGATCCGCGGCAGAAGGCGGCCAGTATACCATGCAGCAGCGGGTACAGTCCTTAAGCGTTAAGATCCCCGCAGAAAAGTCAGACCGCTCCCAAGCGGTGCAGAAGAAAGGAGGGGGGAAAAAAAAAAAAAGGGACAAAAAAACCCTCCCGTGACGCCAGACACCA